CAATTTTAGGGCCATTATCGTAACCCCTCTATGTTTTTGCACTTTAGACCAACGTTGCCAGGGTACGTTTTTATATGAGACTGGGTTGCAATGTACTAGAAGAGACAGGCTTTATGCACACACATGTATGACACAGAGAGTGTCATACAATATATTATCTTAACGCGCATGCTTGTATGACATATTTCACAATCATCTTTCCCCAAGTTACTGTCTGAAATAACAATATTGTGTCTTTATGAACATGTACAAACACTTCTGGGGGTGATTCACTAAACAATTACCAAAAATACTCTCAGGAACCTGAGGAAACGACATATTACAGTGCCACAGAATACATGACTCTGTAACCTGATGGTAAAGTTCAGTGTATTAGTCAGTCACATCAAGACCTGACATGACTGCAGATTCCTTCAGTCCCCTGTTTGGACTGATATTGTGGGGTTATTTTGCCATGCCACACAGGAAGTTATTATATGTGGCTCACGGTTCTATTGAAAATTAATAAGCAAGCTCTGACAGTCTTACAATGGACTGATGTATCTTAAAAGACGGAAAGTGGTTGAAAAACCAGAACCACTGCTACCCAGTTTTTTTTTTAACCACAAGGTTTAAGAGATCAAAAAAGGGTAGCTTTGAAACAGTGAACTGCGCTACCTGTAGGACTTGGCATGAAGTGTATTAATCTGTTAATATTTTCAGTGTGTAGTTGTTGCTAACATCATCTGAGTCTGGCCTGAGGCGGTGGGCGCTGACTGTCTGACAGATATCAATCTTTCTTCACCTGCCTTCATCTGTCTTGTCCTCCAGCACCTAATGGAAAACAACTGCCACACTGGCACTCCTGCTGGAGACAAACACATCTGGTAGACACATGGTACATATGGCCATCAATCACAAACATTAAAAACAGTGATCAGTGCCATATTCTATGGACCTCAGGCTTGTGGGAAAAAAACATGAAAAAACTGTTTGTATCAAACAGCAACGCTTAATTGTTAGGACTTGTTTTTGCAGAAAATGGACAAAAAATTGTGTTGGTTTTATAGCTTTTGCTTAATGTTTGTGGGTACCACCATTCTTTTCCCTTTCCCATTTACTGTCCTGTTTCTGAGCCAAACTATTCCAGGAAAAGTTGTTTAAAACCATGTGGCCCAAAAATGCAGCTCCTCTGGCCATCTAGATGGGATTTCTTCTGGAAGCCTAAAGGGGTAAACTGAATGAGAAAGACATATACAAAGCACAAATATGTGAAAACACACTCCTAAATCTAAATTTGTAGAAGATGACAACCGTGGTCAGCCTAAAATGTTTACAAGAAATATGCTAGCACAGTTTAAGTATTAGGATTCTGGAGCGACATACTAGGTTTATGCCTTGAGAATGAATAACCACCACAAAATAAAGGGATCTAAATCCAAAATACCTGTACAAAACTAATGTTTTTATCAAGTACCAGTTAAACTTAGTATATTTTCTATACCTGCACAGTTGTCTGCACAGAATGGCTTACATCTTGTCCTTTATCCTTTTTCATGTCCAGTTCCATCCTGAATACAGAGCTGGCCTTCCTTGATGCCACCACCCCAGCAAACCACAGCAAAGAATGTTGCACTGGTTACTACTGACTAGTTAAAGATCTGTTGCACACACTGAAGGAAATTAGTCTTTTCAGGCATAACAGTCTGCTCTGTCCCTTCCTGAAGAGGGTGTCAGTGTTGTGAGTCCGGTCCATCCAATTTTTTTATTTTTATTGGTTATTATTATTGGTTTATTTGTATGAGTCCACCCTCTCCCTGGATGATACCTGGAACAGTATTCAACTCTGAGAATTACCCCACCCCTCTTACCAAGAACTCAAGCTGCTTTGAAATCTTCATTCCGTAGGCTGGAGTTTCTGGTTGCAATCTGGTTCCCAATCTATCCCGTCTATGTCTGTACTTGTCATCCACAAGGCAGGTGGATGTAAACATAAAAACCTCAGTGATGATCAACAAGCATGTGATGTAACGATCAAAGCTTTTCCTGGTTGTCTGCAATATGTAAAAACAGAGTAACAGAGTTGAGTGGACAGAAAATATGTAGTTACATATACAGTTTACATTTACATTACATTACAGTACAACTGCTGTCCATTCATTGGTCCCCTGATAGTAAGTAATGTCAATGAAAATATAGCTTTACAGGACCTTTCACTTTTCATGGGCACTAAAGCAAATCCAGTCACCCACTGGGTAGAAAGCAGGAAAACAGCCTGGAGATAAGGCTAACACCATAAGACAAACAAAAGACAATGCCTTGCACTTACATTCATACCTGTGCAAATAAGTAGTCTTCAACCCAGCTGACCTACAAGGGCACAGGACTGTGGGAGGAACTTGAGGGAGAGCCAGAGAACCCACTTTCCCTGCTGAGTAACTACTTGTTGGTTGATATTTCCCACTCAACTCAAAGTACCTGGCGCATAGTTTCATCTAATTATTATGTTCACCTTGTCTGTGTTGGCTTGGGACACATTCAATTTCTTTGGTACTCTATTAGTCCATCATCCTCCTCCGTCTCTGTCTCCATGGAGGCTGCAGTGAAACTGTTCAATGTTGCACCACATTCATGACACATGTAGGTATGATGACAGCACTGCAACTGACATGACTCAGATTGCCTCAGGGGCCTTCAGTGACGAAACAAGTCACATATCTATCATATGCTGTACCATTGTTTTTCCCATGTTCTCATTGAGATACATTCTGCATGGCAGTGAAGTGGAATATTTTCACAAAAGGGATACATTTATTCTGATTCAGCTATTTGTTTATTGCAGTGATACCTAAAATGTGCACAGCGGGTTTAAGTTCTAATAATCTATACAGGTATGTGTGTGCAAAATTGTTTTGTAGTTTAATGTTCAGGTGATCCAAGTTGATAATGTACTCCACTGTCACAACAAAACAGGCACAGTCCAAACAGAACAAAAGACATCCAAACAGAGTAAAGAAATGGTACACTGATTCCTACTGATAGAGGCATGGCTGGAAATGTTCTCACACCTCTATTGAAACCAGACAAAGAAGGTATAATATGTGGTGATGAAGTTTCAGAACGGGAACAAAAGAACAGGTCAGAGAAAACGAGGTGAGGGACAGAAAGTGAAAAGAGAAATGTGTGTGAACGGGTGTGAATAATCCGGTAAGGGCTGCAAACAGATATGCATTACTTATTACATTATTTATGTCTGTTTTATTTATATTCTCATGAGGAGCAAAATGCATTAAACAGGATGGGGGACATCCAAATTGGAGACATTTGGCATTGGGATATTTGGTTTAGATTTAGGATTATGTTCATTTTAAAAATTAGCAATTTAGTGTATTCAAGTGGATAGAGGCTGCATTAAGTGAGGGATATTAGAGTGTGGGTGCTTCTCCTTTATATCCATTAGGTATGTTTTTCTATATACGATTAATTTGTGTAATCTAAGGAAGGTGCTGAATGCACGCTTATGAAAACAGGTTTAAGGTTAAGATCAGGTCAGGCAATAATGAGGTTACACTGTAAATCTGTATTACCATAGTCAGTGTTCAGTGCTCTACATTGCATATAATTAAAATAAAAAAGACAAGATGCATATAAATCTCCAAATACAGATAACACATACTCTGATACAGGTAGCTGCATGGTCTCAGAACCTGTTCCTAAATCCCACAATTAAGAAAATACTATAATATCCTTTAAACATATTTCTAAATTCAAACTTGAAGATACAATATAAAATATAAAATTAAATAATTCATTATAAAATGATAGAAATCTGAAAAAAATGTGATAAATGAATCATATGTGGATAAGCTGTAGTTATGGATAGTGGATATGTGTTTTGGAGGCTGAAGTATCAGATTGCAGGTAAGTAATGAGGTCAGCGAAAGAGCTCACAGGTATAGCGATATAGAGTGTGCGTAAGAGAGAGCGAGCAAGGGGAAGAGGGAGGACCAGTGAGAAAACCAGAACATGAATCACACCGTGAAAAGCAGGGAGGCGTGGTACAGAGGGTGGGGCCGAGCTTCGGGCTTGGCACCAGCCCAGTCCAAGCCCATCTTAGCTCTATAAGAGGGACCTGGTCCGCCCAGCTTCACAGCCACTCAGGAAAGCTACCCACTGTGCCTGTCTTCTCACAGTCTAATCAGCCTCTAGCAAGAAAACATGGGCAGACATAAGGTGTATCTGGACAAACTGTCCCGGTTCTTCCAGATCCGTCACCTGCTGCTTCGTCAGGCCCTGGCAGAGTGTCTTGGCACCCTCATCCTTGTGGTGTAGGGTGTGTGCGCGCGTGTGTGTATGAATGGAACTTAAATCGCACCATCTCACGCTAAAACAGATGTTTAAAACCCAAAAATCTGCTATGCTTTAAATGAAAACACTAAAACGCTCATACTTTGAAATATGCCCTATGTTGATAATAATAGTTGACCTCTGTCCCCTCTCACAGTCTTTTCTTTTTTCTGAGTACCCTCACTATTCAATTTTCTATTTTCTTTTGATGTTGCAATATAATCAATGACTCTCAATATGACAGCATTTGTATTCTATCATGTTTGTATTGGCCCTGTTTGAAGGGTGATGAATGATTAGCAGTTCATTAGCAGCAGTGTAATTTGTAAGTCATACAGAGACTTCAAAGCGAGTAAAATGACACTCTTTGTATTGCAAATTGAGTTCAGAACAAACAGGTAAGTAACAGGTTGTGCATGCACTGTGTACAAAACCATATTAATGATTACACTGCAATATTTGCTTGGAGCTGGGATCCAGGATCCCGAAGCCACAAAACCTCATGACATCCTATTATCACTTTACATTGGGTTAGGTGTGTGAAGAAGAACATGTCAATGTCAAATAATAACTCAGTATCAAAGGGGATTAAACTTCAATTGTAACTACTTACATTAGCCACTTTGATGTTTCCTTGATGATCCTGTTTCAGGATGAAATGAACAACAGAAATTTGTTCGGGAGGAGAAAGAGAGTTCACTTCACTGAGACTCTGGGCTATTCACACTGACAAACATACAGCTGTAATAGGCTACTGTTTATTAAGAAGTATTATTTCCTATCCCACTCCTGGCAGAAAATTTGCACATAAGTTAAAAATAAGTTTTACAGTTAATACTTTAAATGCTACTACAACAACCAGCTTAGTGGGCAACCTAAAGGCTCCTTTAATGGTTTAACATTTAAAGTGCGGCTGTGCTGAGTTTAGTGTCTCATCTAATTAATCCTCCGTGATTAACAAAGCCAGTTATGAAGGCGTAGAAGCATGTTACCTTTAACTGAAGAGAGCATTTTATTCTCATACATAATCCAAGTCCATGGGAGAAAAAATTAAAAATCGTTTGTATTTCCCTCCAGCGAAGCCATTTGCATGAGCTTAGTCAGAATTTCAAGTAGCTCAGATATTAAGTACGAATAAGAAAACTGTATAAACACAGATATGCAGTGGAAAACTACTTATGCAAGGAGCCAAAGACTGAAAAAATAGTTGCTGTTAGTCATACGATTCAGCATGCATTGTGGCTACTGATGGTACAGAAAGGTGTGGTACAGGTGTTAAATAGGTGAAACATGTCGATGGCAGCACTGGGAGGGTCAGTGGCAGAACAATAGTTATCACATTACAGACATTTTTAACATAATTTTACTTCCTCTATCNNTGTTTACCACCTTCTCTCTCAATATGTAAGCCTGCCAATACAAGTTTCTGCTAGAGTGACAAACAAAGCAAACTGCTCATTAGTAATCAGCTAATATTGTAGGATGACTTGGAGAGATAGGTAAACTGCGCAAGGGTGTGTATGGGTGTGTGTGTGTTTTTGATTTTGTCATTCTTGGCATTGTGTCACTAGCTCCTGACAAGTTGTTACCAACATAAAACAGGATATTTCTGCATTCAGACATCTACACATATTGATTTACTTTTTGGCCACAGGCTGATGTCAGTGTAGCGGATTTGTCTGAGCACGCCAGCGCCTAAAGGGGCTTAGAAAATATGTCCTTAAAGGGCACCTATAGACAGATCATGTCTTTTGCCATCCCACAGTAACTGTTGTCTTAACCCCTCATTGCACTCTCTGCATTTTCCACTTCAAACCACTGGTTATACCTGGAGAGTAGCCGAGGGGGTTCTTCTGAGGCTCTTTAAAGATCACACAGGTAGTGATTTAGAGACTGGTTCCAGGCCAGCAGATTCTTTGCCTTGAGCTCCTAAACAATTGTCAAATGTGTGTTTCAGCAGGCAGACTGCTGTGGGCTTTTTTTTTAATAAGCTCCCCGACTGTGTTAAAAGCCGGGAGTAGCTGCATGGATGCATGACCAGCTGAATCAGCCACTTGAATGGTGGCTGAGGAAGTGGTGGGGCGCTGTTAACTAACTACAACAGTATGACAGCAACAAAGCAAGGTGCTGGAATTCTTCAACAGAGTGAACACACAGTCACTGGTGAATATGAGCACTTCAGAGTTAGGAATAATACTCACTCTTTCCAGAATTGAGTGCACGATTTAAATGAGACCTTTTCTGGGGGAACACGATCTAAGTAGGGAAGCTGGCACTCGCGAGCTAATGGCCCATCATTTGCAATCTGAAGCCTCTGACATTAAGAAAAACTCTGTAAAGTGCAAAGAGTTTTTGATTTCTATTGTCACATCACATGAGCCCATCATGGCATAACATCAGGGAGACAAAAAACAAAACAGCTAAGCACAATTCTAACATTGGGCTGATTTATATAGTATTTTTCCAGTAATGGCTGGCCTCACCAGGGGTGGAAAAGAGTTTAGACTGAGCCCAGCAATGATGAGCTCCCCTCAGGCGCCAGTCCCTCTGAGTGTGGTTCCCTTGAGCCAACCTCAACATCTGAGTCCTGTGGTCAGACTGAAAAGCATCCTCATCAGGGGGCTTAGAGAGCAGCAGCCTAAGCATGGACCACACATATTTCTTTTTCCCAACACATACAAAGAGGACATGGGGATATACACACACACATACACACATTGCATGTAGAATAAACAGTATGGCACCTGCTTGGCAGGACTGCTGCTACATCGAAAGACGACACATGCTGTTGACACATTCTTGTGACAGCATCAGTTACGTTTTTCCCCTCATTCAAAGTGTAAACTGAACTTCAGTTTTTTCCCGTCCCAGATAAATCCGTTCCGCAGTTAGCAGCAACCGTTCGCCCCAGTCAAGGTCAACACAGTTAACTTTTCTCTACATACGGTATACTGTACTCCTGTGTGCCATTATGAACACAATAGAGCTCATTTAATTCTGAGTAGAGCTCATTTAATGGACCTTTGTTTTACTGGTTTCACTGATTATGATCACATTGCCTCATTTCACCCCTTGGCTTGACCTTGAACAGCTGACAAAGCACTACATGTACAGCATTCATTCAGCATTCATGAGATACTTCATGTGGTTGGTGTGTGGTGCACAAAACTTCTTCTAAAGCCCTGATGTGCCAAGCGCACATCACATTTTTTGAATGCATTTTTTTTGTATGATAATGTGTTCTTATTACTGATATGTGTATATATATTATTGGAACCCAGTGTAAACTTGCTTTTCTATTCTGTCTCCAGATGTTTGGCTGTGGTGCTGTGGCCCAGCTAGTGTTGAGCGGTGGTTCCCATGGCATGTTCCTAACTGTCAACTTTGCCTTCGGCTTCGCTGCCACCTTAGGCATCCTGGTCTGTGGCCAAGTATCAGGTAAACAAAGTCTTTTATTGAAAATTACATTGGGGTTTTAAATCTTTGAGTGACTCGGTTGGTCTTATGATGGATGCAGGGGAGTAAACACTTTCTGTGCATTATATTTAAGAACTCAATTGACACGCCTTGCACCTCATACTGATAAATGCGGAGTTTCAGTCTGTATCTAGGTAATGTTATTGCACAATATGTTCATTCATGGTCTATAATATGTACTGACATACTGTTGCCATGTGCATTTGCAGGTGGCCATCTGAACCCTGCAGTGACCTTTGCCCTGTGCCTGCTTGGAAGAGAGCGCTGGAGAAAGTTCCCCACGTACTTCCTCTTTCAGACAATCGGTGCTTTTTTTGGTGCTGCAATCATTTTTGGCATGTACTATGGTAAGGGATGATTTAAAGTAATGATGTTGTTACAACCATACATGAAGTGCATTATTTAAGCAACCAGTCTAATGAAAAAATTTGTTTAATGCTATATTCTGTGTGTTTGAATCGCTTTAGATGCCCTGTGGGACTTCCCTGGAAGTTTCAATGTGACTGGACCTGGTGCCACAGCTGGCATCTTTGCTACCTACCCTGGAAACCATCTCACCATTGTCAATGGCTTCTTTGATCAGGTACTTTTTTGAAATGTGTTATGAGCTATCATACACTCAATTTAGAAATACAGATGGTACAACTCAGGTGTAAAACTTATGACTTCTTACATGTACCTCTCTCCAACACAGATAATTGGCACAGCAGCACTGATAGTTTGTATTCTGGCTATTGTGGATCCATACAACAACCCCATCCCCCAAGGGCTGGAGGCCTTTACTGTGGGATTTGTGGTTCTGGTCATTGGATTGTCTATGGGCTTTAACTCTGGTTATGCTGTGAATCCTGCCAGAGACCTTGGACCACGTATTTTCACAGCTATGGCTGGGTGGGGTAGTGAGGTTTTCACGTAAGTGCACAGATTTAAAGCATTTTCCTCATTAATTGTTCATCTTTATGTGATCTCTCCTTAATAATACTCTCACAGTGCTCACCACCTATTAACCCTCATTTCCTGGGGACAAAATAAAAACAAATTTTGTATAATTGTATGACTCTTTTTTTGGACACCCCTCAGGGTCAGAAATGGCTGGTTCCTGGTGCCAGTTTTAGCCCCATTCCTTGGCACCATCATCGGTGTGATGATCTACCAGTTAATGGTTGGCTTCCATGTGGAGGGAGAAGTACGCGACCGTAAGAGCACAGAGGAGGAGAATGTCCGACTCAGAAATGTCACCAGCAACGACAACTCCAAAGAACTTACCAAAGAAATGCACTGAGTGTGTTACAGACATTCAGCTGCACACTTGAACACATGCACATTCTGTAAATACTGACATACACCAGCATTTTTTCTTCCAGCCACAACTGGTTTTTCCAAACCATCCTTACAGCTGTTGTGATATCTCCCAAGATAGCTGCATGTTTGTGAAAACTCTCTTTCCATTATTATGTGATTGTATTATATTGTAGAGGAATGATTGTGTAGAGGGGAGAAACACAACTTCAAAACACAGAATTACATTAATTCTTTTAATGAAAATAATAAACATTTGGATCTTATTGTCTGTAACACTCACAGTTTAAACAGTATTGTATCCTTTATACTAATGTAGTTTTATATATAGTTTTACAAAATTATATACAGTAGATAAATTGAGACGAATGTATGTCTTTCCTAACTATTTCCTGTGCATTTTGTCCAGAACCTTTCACTGTAAATATTTGAATTCAGGGAGATTGTCAGGAAATTGAGAAATAAAAATGTAAAACTTCAAACCTAAAAGACCAGAAAATATCTGTCAGGGAGCATCTTGGGAAGAATGTTGCATTTTAAGTACAGTATGTGAATGATGCTATCTGTGTAGACTAGATCAAAATCAGCTCTGTTGTTTGGAGCTGACAAGTGGTGGTGAAGCTAAATCCTTCCCACAACATTCTTCACTTTACCACTGCCATCTAAAGCAGCTATATTAAAGCGGCTGTCTTTTTATATACACTCTTTGCCCTTTAAAAGTCCTAACCAGATATTCTTAAACAAGCAGACAATTGTTGTGATACCAGCTAGCAAACTAGATCATTTACCCTTTGTATGAACTAAATCTTATCCCGCTCTAAAATATTAAATGTGTGTTAACGAATGACAATTATCTCCTTCTATGTACAGCACCACATTAAACTGTTAATCTGTCTTAAAATTGTTCATGTATGCTTGTTGATGTGTTTGTATGTAGGTTGAGGGGAAACGCTTTTGTACTGAGACCATAAAGTTCTGTTTTTTATCATTGCATGAATGTGGATTATGTTACCCTCTTGTTACTGTTCATTCTTGTCTTCCACAAATGCTTCTCATTTCTCCGAGGGAGGGGTGGGGCGGTTGAATTGTATTCTATACAGCAGAATACAATTGGACGTACTAGTGAGTTACACCTCTCTGAAAGCAAGTGTTCAAAGCTGTTTGCACTGTTCGTGGTAGGACAACATTGGGTCAGATGGGGTTGGATAAGCAAGATGTGTGCTAATTTCAATACCTAAAAAAAAACATGGGTCATTACATATCCAGAGTCAATTTACATGAGTTACTAGAAAATAGAAAAATAAATAAGGTAGGAACTTTGAGCCATTATTGAACATCAAGTTATGGAGACAAAGTGTGAAAAATACACATACCAGCCCACATAACACAACATATATATATATATAATATAAATTCCAGATCATATCAAGGTCAGGAAAGTGGGGATACACTGATCGTGACATTCTGTGGCTGATATTGATACTGATGTTTAAAATAACAATTTCGGTGTTCAAGCAACCATGTAACCAGGGCAATGCGAAACAACAGATAAACTTTGGCCACTGACATCATTGAGCGCTATCACACTTGCCAATAGGCCGCTATCAGTCAAATATCAGCCAATACTAATGTTTGGATGATAAATCATGCATCCCTACAGAAAATAGATAAAATAGTTCTGAAAACAGCTTCAGAAAATATTCCAGAATCTGTTGTATATTTTTATCATTCTTGACAGTTAAGAGTGTACCAGCAGTGACCGAACTTAAGAGCCAAGCAGGAAACAAGACTACACAGTGATCTCTACATTCACTCAACTGTGGTCTTTAATAATGATTTTATGTTCCCAAAAGGAGACCTGCTCCATCATTATGCAGTGCACAGCAGTATTTTACACTGCTATTTCAAGGCTACACTTTATTTCCAAGCATACCTCAGTATCCACAGACCAGAACTGGGCCAACGTCCTTCAGTGCATAAATCAAATCAGCTCTGGTCCGCCATGCCAAGGGTTCACTTTGATAGAAACTCTTGCCTACTTACCATTTATTAAGAAAATATGGAGACATGTAAACATACTTGCTCTTTATCCAGCTTAATACGCCTACTTGATGTTGAATTTTCACACAGAGGATTTCATGAGCATCACAGAAAGGGAAAATGTTTGGCAGACTTTGGATTCCGGCAGGACCAACAGGTCTTAGCAGGTCTCCTTGCATGTGTGAAAGAGATTAAAGGCTGGACTACCTGCAAAACACTCACACGGCATTGTTGTCAAAACAGACAGGTTTATTCAGTGGTGGAAGAAGTATGCAAATTCTTTACTTAATAAAATGATCAATAGCACACTGTGAAAACACTCCACTGCAACTGAAAGTCCTGCAGCAAAAGCCTTATTGAAGTAAAAGTATGTAAGTATTCTTAGCCAAGTAAAAGCACAGTGCAGTAAAATGGTCCCTGTCAGCATGTGATGATTTTGGATTAATCTTACTGCTGGATTCAGCTGTATGTTGCAAAAAACTTTATAGTTGTCTTTTAATCTGTGGCATAAACAAAGGTCGCAGTTAAAGAAATTTGTGATTTCACAGGGGAAATTCATGCTATAGCGATTTTGTTGCTGAGGTATTGGTAGGTTTAGTTTTAAACTTTGAATAAAGTCAGTAAACTCCTTCCCCCCTTCCAGTCTTAATGCTAAGCTAAGCTATATGCATGCTGACTCTCGCTCCATGATGCACAAAAATAAGTTGTATAAATCTCATGCAAATTGTAGCGACACAGTAAAACAGCACATTTCCCCACATGTCAATTTATTCCTTTAACATTTGAAAGCCAGCAGCGGAGTAGCATTACATTCATGATGATGTAAGCTATCAGAGAATCAAAGCCAGGTCGTACGTGTCAGCATGTTGGAGCATCTTTGAACACACCAGCAGCAAGAGTATTCAAAACAGCTTCTCCTCATGAAATAAAAGTTAACCATCGTAATGAAATAAACAGGACCTAACGGTGCCCTGGATTTAAGGAAATTCTTCCAAAAAAAAATGAGATATGCTTTGGAAGCTTGTTAGTATTAATGTAAGGTATACACAATCTGTAGTCAATGGACTAAAACGTGCCAAACCGTCAGTATAATTATTTAAAGAGCTGATCCAAGCAGCACTCACCAACCTTATGGCTGTGGACATATGTTTTCTATTTTGAGCTGCCTTTGCTAGGTACAGTATGCTGCCTGAGGCTCCAATGGAATTCTAACGTTAGATCAGGTTTGATGTATCATGGCTCTGTAAGATATTGTTTCAGCAAATTTTTTGCCCTTTGTATTCTGTATATTTTGAAGTCTGTAGGATTCACTTGGCACCAATTGTAGCAGCTAGTCTTTGCCACATTTATTGAACTTTATCTAACTGCATAAACTGGCATGTGCACATATTGATTATTTCTACTGCATAGATCTTAATAGTGGATAAATCCAAATATATCAAATCCAATGTGGTAAAAACCACGTGTAACTAGCCACAAAAGAACACAAAAGATAATGCTGCTTGTTTCAGCAGGTCCACAGCTTCACAGGAAAAACAAACACATGAAAGCTTATATTAATCACATGAAGTAAGAAGCATACCTGGATCCTACAAAAGCTTGTTGTAAAAAAATACTCCTTCCCAAAACAGAACGCTTTCCTGCTAAAACTGTATTATACCGTCAATATAGCACCTCACATACCAAGTAAATTTCCTTCTCACAGGATCTGATACTGAGTATACCTGTAAAATCCCACTGTATCCCTTAAGCCATGTTTCTTATGCCAGAGTCTCATCAAAGAACTTGCACCTGGCTAGATTTCAGCATTATATAACCAATCTGACAGGGAAAACAACATGATAGATATGTGGGGCACACTGGGCATTCTTCACTCTTATATTGCAAAGAAAGAAAGATTCTGTATAAGAGGTGAATTACCCTGGTAGGTTCAAACAACTTTCACCCAACGTTTTACAGAGCAATAAAATGTATCTCACACAGCTATATGGTATGTCTGGTTCAGACTGCAACACTAATGGCTTTGTTATACATAGTATAAAACACCTGAGAGAAGAATTAGTACCATGTGCAGACCATGTGTAATACAGCAGTATCTACTGCTGCAGTGAATCCAAATAAGCAACAAGTTCAATACAACAACTTTGAGGTGATTCCTATCCAATTACAATAAATTGTGGTGGTGAATGAACCCCTCCAAATCACATGACATTTATGTCATCTGAACTGTGCAATGCAGAATCAAATACATTTTCCTGGATTCTTTGGCCCAACAATTATCTATCCAAAGTACTTTTTCACCTTCCCTTTCATCAACTTTAATCCAATCTTTCACAAATGTAGTAACTGGTCCCAATTATTTGACAGTTTTGAAAGTGCCATCATGGTTGAATGCATTGTGCAAACGCGGCCAAAGCAAGATTGGACAGGCATGTCTCAACTCCAAGCATTCCTGCAAAATGTGATTGCATTTCATTCTTCCATATGTGGAAAGGAGATATGCATTCTCCAACTGCTTTTAGGTATAATTGTTTTTGTATCATTTTTGTATCTAAAAATGCATGCATTCCAAACTTCCAAAATAAGCTTTTTCACAACTAAATACCATTTTCAGCAAGGAAAAGAAGTGCAGCAACCATGGCTTCTGGGTTAAGTGTGTGTCAGAGTACTGGCTAAAATTGCTAATATTCAAATAACACATCTCCAACAGAAATGTTTATGTTGCAACTCTTAGTGGCTGCATGTATTTTTTATTTTTCAAATGTAATTATTGTGACTTCTACAATGACAAACAAACAGTGCTGTTTTTAAAATACAGATTTCATTTCATTTATCTTGTGAGTGTCAATCGATGACTGCGGTGAAGACCGATTTAATAAAAACATTGTTGAATTAAATTCAAGAGTGGCCACTGTGCCTTGCTGAGAAGGAAATGGAGGCTGCTCATAAATCTAGGGTCCTTAGAACAC